AGGGGGTCGCAGAGGGGGGGTCTGCGCAACCGAGGGGGGCCTGGTCGGCCGGCGGCGCGACGCGACGCGGCGCGCTCTGTCGGTGGCGCCCGCGGGTAAAAATAAGCGCCTCGCGGCGGCCCCCGAACCCACAGTGACATCTTCCTCGATTATGCGCGTATTTTTAGCGCGGCTCCTATAAAGGAGGCCTATGAAATCGCGGCCGGTCGACAGACCCGCGCACGTCCTCTCGCGACCGCGCCCCGCCCATCCATTTGGGTCCTTGAGGGCTGCGGCGGGCCGTCGGACGGGGACGGGTCTGTTTTGTCCTCCTTTTCCTTCTTCTTTTCTTCCAATCGTTTGGTCTTTTGTAGCGCTTTCTGTGTTTGGGTACTTAGCATTGTAGTCTCCTACATTCCCGCAATGTCCGTCCCATAAACTCTTCTTCTTCGTCCCATATCTCTTCCCAACTGTCTGACTGTATTTTTTCCATATTCAGTTTACAGGTATATTTTTCTCACCTAATTCAATACCTCGGCCTTTTTTCATCTTGGTACTGCAGTTGATACAACTTCGGTACTCTATTTCTATAATCTCTTTTATATATCTTGTCTCATTTCATTTTTGTTATCTAACCTGCTTTTTTTGTATATTTTTCGTATTATGTAAATTTTTGTTTTCTTACAATTATTCTATATTCTCTTGCGTGTCTGGTACTGAGCTCTCTTCCTCACTCATTTTCTCCTCTTCTGTGACAACTTCGTTTCATTTCATTCTCATCACTGTTTATTATTTCTTTTTTATCCATGGATGTGGATTCATCGTTCCCTTACTTCCTTTTTCAATACTTCTTGCCTACTGCGCCAATTCTTCAGTTCCTGTCAATGTCCGTGAGTGCTCCCGCGCCGCAGTATTTTGTTCCCCTCGCAGCACCGCCTTCCCACGGTGCAGGGAAGGGATGCGGTGACGCCAACAAGTCCTCGGTGTTCAAAAATGGAAACATCGATGTTAGCACATCGCTCAAAAAGTACTTATGTGTTTTATGCAAAGTAAAGTAAAAAATAATGAAAATTAACAAAACTTTTATCGTTATCTTGAATACATCAGAAACCAATGACAAAAAATATAACTACATTTATTGTAAACGTAAGCTTTAGCAGCTCCAGTTCATGACTTCTTGGCTGTCCGGGTGACGCCTCGTCGTTGGCTGAGAGGCCAATGTTGACCTCCTTGCTAAGGACGCGGCGTCACCCGGACAGCCAAGAAGTCAACTACATTCATTGCTTTTATAATTAATTGACGCACCCGTATCCCTAATTGTTGAATTGGTTGCCGATTGCCTCGCTAGGGACAACCTTGCTCCATTTATCCAAAAGCGCGACTCTGCTATAATGTAGAATTTCCTTCTCCTTCTCAGACTCTTTGTGACTTTTCAGCAGCAAGGGAAATCATTTTACGTATATATGAAAATTATGACAGTTTTTTTTCGTTACGTATCCTATTCATTTCAAAAGAAAACTCTCTGCAACGGCGGGTTTATCCAACGGCCAATCGGCCAAAAATCATCGATGTTAAAAAAAATATCGTCTTCAATAAATCGACGTTAAAAGCATCGATTTTTTTTATAAAATGCGGAATATTCGCAAGACGTCGCAAACCTACCGAAGGGCAGGCCAGTGCCGCCGCCCTCAGCCGACTGCGAATGGCCTCCGTCCTGGACCTTCCCGTCTGCCACCGGCGCGGCCGCCCACGCGGCGCGTCGCATAAACAAGCGAGGGCGAACAACGCGATCACGACGGCGATTATGAGAGCTCTCCTGTGCGCCGCGCCGCCGGCTGGGGCGGAGGTGTTTGTTGACGACGCCGCGCCCGCCGCCGCCGGCCTCGGGCAGGCGCAGACCTCGGCCTTACGCTCCCCGCTTACGTCACGCGGCCACCACTCGACTCCGCCGGCGACCACGTGGCGCGCGGAACAGGTTGCGACAGGAAAGTCGGGATGCACGCGTCTTTAAAGCTATTGTTGCTTATCATGATAATGGATTGATTACACTAGTAATCAATCCATCATCGTATTCGAAACATCGTATTTCGATTCCGGGCGCGTCAACCCCTAAGGTCATTAGTCCCGTAAGTGTAGTATATGATTTTTGCTCGGGTGGTGGCGGTCTTGCCCCGCTGAATGGCGAGGTCCGGCTACCGTCGGTTAGCAGGGTTATCCCTTATCAGGTATCTCCCGCCAGCGTACCGCCCCAGTCGCGATAAGCTCTAAGCTCCCGACCGGTCGGTGTGGTAGTGTAGGATGAGGACAGAACAAGGAAGACGAAGGAAAGATCGCGCGCGGTCAGTGGTCCGTTTGTTAGGATACTGCTTCGGCATTCGCCTGGTAATAACAGAAGAAACCATGGGAAACTACCGATCATACCAAATAGCCGGCCGCGAGAATTCTCCTCCAGGCAGCGACTGAACTCGGCCTAGCTTTTCAGGACTTATTTCTTTTTTTAGATCCATTTTTAACAAGTCGGTCATGTAGCGACAACTGAAATTGCTTTAACTGTAGGAAGAACACGTAAGAACAAAACGAACACAAACATCCATGCCCGAGGCGCGATTCGAACCTGCGGCCCTTCAGTCTTAGCGACAAAGGCTATCCGACTTAATTCCTTTTTCTCTCAATTAATTTATTCAAAAAAGCATTTCCGATAGTTATGATTTTCGAAGAGTTAAATTTTATTGAAAAAATTTAACCCGAAAATTATAAAATCATTCGCAGTATTTATTAAAAGTATTTCTCGTCTGAAGTAATCGAAGCGTTTGAGTTGTGATCAGAACATGTATTTTAGCGATATATGATTATGAGGTTAAAACATTCTGCCAAAACAAGTTACGATACTGTGAAAGTTATTTGAAGGCTGGCTCAGGAAAAATATTCCTTCGAATCAATGTTTACGTTTGGCAACAAAAACTTCTTTCGTCTTTTATGATCGTTGAAAATTTATAGCACAGTTTAGAGTGTAAATGCGGTGGCTGCTGAGTGTGACATAATGAAGGAAGTAAGGAAAATGAAAGCATCGCTATACACTTAGGAACTAAAGTGTTTCCAAGTGCGCCTCTTACGTGAGCAGTGACGTCCAGTCATTTGATTCTGCCCTTCTCCTTCTATCAAAAGTCTGTAGATTTCCTCTTTGGACAAATGACTGACTCACGTAGCACAAGCGATCGTAGAATGAACACATTTGCGTAGACGGAGACAGCTTTTGAAGGTGGATTGTGTTTCACGCGTCTACGTATTTCGGGAATTGCTATCAGATCGAGGAAATATATATGAGGAAAACGTACCACTGGGTAGCGCACAGGTTCGTTATGCCGTATGTATCGACGTTAGAGTGTTATGTAGTAGCTGAAAGACTCACTTGTTGGAAGTTGTGTCCTCCGACCGCACGTACATAAGTAAGACTGTACAGGAAATCTTTCGTCGAAATTATTGCATGGTCGAATAAATTAGGCATCACTACCTTGATGTTGTACTTCAAGATAGACTACATGTAGGCCCGACGCAACTTACAATACTAAAAAATTACTCGACCAATTTGCATTGCGCGAACTAAAAATGTTAGTTCAGTTTTCTTCATGTGTTTGATGCAAAAGGTATAGAAGATAAGACGAAAAGTTTGCTTTTCTGTACCATAAAAGCCTCGATTGACACTAATTATCGAAAATTCGAATTTGACAACATTGTTCAGAAGCTTGTAGAAAAAGTTATGCTAATGAGATGTTTAACTGTTATATAAGCTACTCCCCTGGTAAAGAAAATTTGAACTGCTTCCACAAAGTCCATATTCTACCACCCCTGGAGGCTAATGAATGAAATTATTGGAACCGAAGTTTGTATACCAAACGCGTTTGCGAAATCGCATCAGATTTGTGCCCATATCTCCAGTACGCAACCTTCTCGAAGGTCATTGGTCTTGCAGCAGAATAGAACATAGGGAACAAATGTGAATTTTATGGGAAATAACAGTGTTACAAAACCAGGTGCTGTAAACCGATACAGTGGTCTTAAATGCTCAAAGAAAGGACAATATTTTTGCTTAGAGAAAATGAGAAACATATACTGTAAAGATTAGAAATCATAAAACCAACCGAATAACGAAGGGATGCGACGCGTCACTCGCATTTATTGACGCTACGTCACTGACTTAAGGTTTCCTGAATAAAGTTTGCACATATTTTATTCCATTCAGTTGTTTTCAAAACTTGATTTAGATTTAATGCTATTTCAAGCCCTTTTTCCTAGGTAAGTTAATGCGAATCTTCAGTTCAGTGATTCTTTTACTTGTGAGACTCGTTGAGACATTTATTTAGGACTGTTTACGATCATACGATCAAAAATAATTGCTTTCATTTCTCATTTCTTCCCACTTTTCATTTAAGGGATGAATAAGGAATAAATGAAGATTAAGTTGCGCCTTTTGATTCTAAAGACGGTGTACGAAGTAAAAAATGACTTAAGTCATACCACAACTCTTTAAAAAAATCAAAATTGTGTATCAAATTAGCCACACTCTTTGGGGCAAATTCGATAAATTGATGGGGCTAAAGTGATTCGGCTTAATATCTCTATGACTTTTGATTGGGAAATAAGAAGCAGTGGGACACCTTAGAATCTAGTGTGTCTCAACAGTATTTTTTTGCTGTGCCCATATACTGTAACATTTTGAGTTCCTACTATATGGTTATTATTAATAGAATATATTCCACAATATTTGCTATTTTTTGTTAATTTTGGATACCAACAAGTAACTACACAGTGACGTCTTAGTCAGTAAGTAGCGAAGGCAACCAGTGTTTTATTGACAGTTTGCTACAACTTTTTGTCGCATCCCCTACCCGATCTCTCAGGAGACGCCACTGCCTTAAATCTTATTCGGTAGGTTTGGCAAAAATAAAATAGCCTCTCAAGCGCTTGCATGTTCTGAAACGAACAGGATGTTTTCTCACATTCCTTTTCCCTTATGATCGCAGGTTATGGCACCCGCAGCATCACAGAAGAATGCCCGGAGGCCATCTTCGTGATGTGCTTGCAGAGCATCACGGGCGTCATGATCCAGGCGTTCATGGTGGGCATCGTGTTCGCCAAACTGTCGCGTCCAAAGAAGCGCACACAGACGCTGCTGTTCTCGCGGAACGCCGTGGTGTGTCTGCGCGACGGCAGCCTCTGCCTCATGTTCCGCGTGGGCGACATGCGCAAGTCGCACATCGTGGAGGCTCACGTGCGAGCGCAGCTCATTCGACAAAAAGTAAGGCCGTCACCAGCGCCTTTCAACTTCACCGCGCGTGTTAATGGTGCAAATGTAGATGTAAACTAATAACATCAAATGTTGCAAAGGCATTCCGTACATCCTATAATCCGCTACGAAAATATCAATTGGTTTCGTAGGATATATAAAACGTAACCGACCCAAAATACTTGAAATGTGTCACTACTATATAGGAAACTTCCTTGACAGACGTACCTCAAAAGGATATGTGTCAAACTTAACTGTACTCTAACAGCACATACCTTCTCGCACTATTCGAAACTTTTGCAATTTTCCAAAATTCAGATAGTTTGATGCAACTCGAATTTACGCCATTTTTATCAGCGTACTTTGTACTATCCGATAAACGAATAAAGAAAAAAAATGAATTTTGAGAAAATCTTGTTTGCAAAATTTGCATTTATTACACGTGAAATTACGTGAAAACTACAGACAGACGTTTTGCCGGAAACTAATATTTCGGTATCAAGAACCCACGAAACATTGATATTGACTACACAACGTGTTAGAGAAAATAAACACAGAGGAACGAGAGTACCTTTTCGGTATCAGGCACCTACAATACCGTTTTGCACCACACAATAGTCGGTTTTGCTGCACCATTACATAACTATCTCTGTACCACGTATGTTGTATGCGAGAATGTAAAATGGAGAATTTTATAGATTACGCTATGCAGAAAACAACAGGTACTCATATGCAATCCGCAAGATACGCAATCCGCAACAAAACTCGATGCGACCTAGGCTGAGAACCCCAGTTTCTGGAGACCCTGGGCTAGTTATGTTTCTTGAACCGTAGTCTACAAAACATTTTCTGAACCTTCTATTACATTTTTGGAAGTTTAGCATATCTGGTTTTGCCTGTCTCCGTAGTACACGTTGATTTTAAGAAAACACTGTAAAACATTTTTAAAACAATATAATTTAAAATGCTCAAAAAGTACCAAAACAATATATGAAAATGTATCTGAAGAATATGAAGAATCTCGTACATCACCCAGCCTATGTCTAAATATTTCTTGCCTCCTAATACGAACTATATCAAGGTCGATATAATTTCGCAGACCTTGATTAAGAAAGTGTAATAGGAAAAATGCCAGGATATAAAAATATATTGCAATCTGAATCTGATCTAAAAACATTGAATTGGTCCACCAATCTTCTTTCGTAAATGTAGGCGCTCAGAATATCTGTAAGTTTGTAACTGTCAAAGTAAATTTCGTATTGAACACTTTAATAGACAGTCATCAAGAGCAGATCAAACGTTGTCGTAACATCCGAAGGTTATAAACCAACATAGTTAGAATTGTGAATATTGTTCACATCATCATTTCGTTTCGTACGTATCCACCTTTAATTTTAAGCTCCGAAATATTTATATAATTTAGAAAGGACTGAGAATGCTATGATAAATGAAGTTGAATTATATTTAGAATATATGCATTAACTACATTCATATTTACACAATTAAATAATTACATTTTAAAATCATTGGGTGGGTCTCCACTGACTAGACACATCATAAAGCAAGTCAACAATGCATTATGGGTGCATTACAGGGTATTCTGGTCGAGTAACAACAAATAAAAGAGATGCGTGACATGTCGAAACTTTTCTTTGTCTTGGTCTTGCTAAATGCAGAATTTGGATATTGTAATAATTGGGCCGATATCTAACAATTTCCAAGCAATGTAGTAGTGTAAACTTGCTTGTCGGTCGATTCCACTGTCCCCGATTCTGTGTAATGTACCGGCACAACTGACGATCGCACTGCCCCAGCTACCGCACGTAGACAAAACTGAAGTTTTTTTTTTCTTTTTTACACTTTTCACTTGAAATGTATTTATATCCGCATCAATTGTCCCCAAGAATGTTTATGGATCAGAAAATGGTGATGAGACTGAGAAGGGGAGGGGTTCGGTATAACGCCTTAATCAGTGCTTCAGATATCGTACTTTAGTCTGAAGAAGAATATTCTTTTTCGATTTTTGCGTTGCTTTTTGATTTGAAAAATCACTGAGCGTTTCTTCTCGTCGCCAGCATCAATGTTAATAATATTTGGAAAGGCACTAACAGATCCTTCGATTGACGTGTGTGCAAAGTTAGGGCTCAAACTAAACACCCTGTCTTATGCGTTACACAGACATCCACATTTTCATCTACCTTTCTGCCCACACTGTCATCTACCCTTCTACACTTAAGTTCACACTGTGAAGGCTAGACACGGTATAAAAAACAAATAGTTTGCCTCAGGGACACTCTAAATGGATTTTAACATCAAAATCTTGACCTCGAATTTTTGAATCGATTCCAAAGTTTCTCATCCATTCTATGTATAATAGAGCAAAAATAAAAATGCAGATATATTCAGGATATTCTGGTGAAATTTTCTTTGTAATTTTTATAAATTAATTGAAAGATTAGTATTAAAAGTGCAAATAATATGTCAAATCTTTTTACTCAAACTTCTGATTGTTGAGTACTTGTTAGACTCGGGAGAAATATTCATTCTGTTTTTTAATAAACGTTAATTTTATTATTTACTTAATTGTATTATGTCAATCTGTTTTATTTGGTTTTATTTTTATTGTATTTTTAAAAAAATTTCTGTTGCAAGTTGCGTAATAGTATGTTTATCGGTCATACACTCGTAATTTCATTGAAACGACTTATTCTGCAAACAGTTTGAATGACAGGCAAATACATTATTTAAAATCGTTCATCATCGAAGAATTAGCAATAACAAATTAGCCCGCATTTTCAAACGGTTTCGAAAGGTAACATGAAATTCAGAAATATAGTCAAATCCTTTCTGTAATATATGATGACCCACTGTACGGGCTTCGTAAGCGAGAAATAATAAGAAAATGAAGTTCATGATTTTTTTCGTTCATGATGCAGAGTAAACAGAAGAGTACAGATAATCGCTCTTGATGAGCTACACAACGTGCAACTTTCGTATTTTCCTCGACCTTCGCATGCGCTGGCGTCGCTGGCGTCGAAAGAGCATGTACTGAGACACCCGCCAGGAGTGAGGCTTGTGTACTCTTTTGTCATGCTTTTCAGTGTCCTAGAATGATAGTCCTTTCGGTCGAGGATATTTGACAATAGCTACGAGTACAAAGCTAGTGTCAGCTGCTGTCTCATCAAGTCCCGGAGCAGTATCTTGAAACACGGGCCACTGACCGCGAGCGATCATCCTTTGCTCTTCTTGGTCTCCCCCTCCCTACTTACTCTCATACACTTAAACTGACATGCACATTTCGGGAGACCAGATTAAACCTAAAATACTACCCTTAAATGGTAGTTTTCCCGATCAACACTGCCAGAGATGTCTGATGGTGTATGTCAGTTTAATCTGGTCTTCCGACATGTGCATGTCAGTTTAAGTGTATGTGTGTAAGTAAGGAGGGGGAGACAAAAATCAGCAAAGGAAGATCGCTCGCGGTCAGTGTCCCGTGCTTTAAGTTACTGATCCGGGATTTGCCTGAGGCAAATATCGGAGCAGTGCCCTAACAAACGGGCCACAAACCGCACGCGATCTTTCCTTCCTCTTACGTATCATATCCTCACCTCGTATTTAGGCACACTTACATCCACTACACTACCACACATGCCGGGAGACCAGTCTGCAGCTTAGAGCGTGTCCCGGCTGTGGCGGTTCCACGCTAGAGGGAGATAGCTGGATGCTGGGAACCCCACTAGCCGACGTGTAGGTCGGCGCCGGATCTCTCCATCCGGCGGGGAAGATCACCACAGCCTACCGCGACAAAACATGCACCACACTTATGGGACTAATGACATTAATCGTTGACGCATACGGGGTCACTAATCAATCAGACAGTTGAGCACGCCGCCGGTTGCAGAGCCCGGAAACACCAAGCAGCGAATGAGTGTGTGCGGTGCGCAGGTGACGGCGGAGGGGGAGCTGCTGCCCTACTTCCAGCAGGAGCTGCGCGTGGGCGGCGACGGCGACGAGGAGCGCATCTTCTTCATCTGGCCCACCACCATCGTGCACTGCATCGACCGCCAGTCGCCGCTCTACAACATGACGGCCGCGGAGCTGGCGCGCGAGCGCCTCGAGGTCGTCGTCATCCTGGAGGGTGCGTTCACAAACCGCAAGAAGGTGTCGCACTCGCAGTCGTGAAATTAATGTTGAAATATATCTGTGGAAAAGTAGTAATTGAAGTTTGATTGTGACAATAATAATAATAATAATAATTAATAATAATAATAATAATAATAATAATAATAATAATAATACTAATAATTCATATATAATAATAATAAAATAATAATAATAATCATATAATAAGAATAAAAATAAAATAATAATAATAATAATAATAAATAGTCGGCCCCGTGCCAGACGTTGCGCGCGCCGTCGTCTGTTCGAGGAGGTGTCAGTTTCGAGTCATGCGTAGACATTCGTATTTGTGATTTCCTTTACTATCATCATCATTTATCTCATAATTCACACTTCAAGGCGTAACAACCTTGTTGTAATCCAAGGATACAGCTGAACAGCTGATCCTGGAAGAATTACACACGCGTGGTCAGTAATGGCCTATACGCTAATAATAATAATAATAATGCATATAATAATAATGGACATGCTTAATAATAATAATAATAATAATAATAATAATAATAATAATAATAATAATAATAATAATAATCAGGCACTGTACATCAGTTTTGATTTTATATAAAAAAATGTTTCCACATTCGAATGTGACATCATTTGACGAAAGTACTCATTTCTATTTCACATTGATTTACGAGAACGCTGACGCGATGTGCTTTGTGCGCAGGCGTGATCGAGTCCACGGGCATGACCACGCAGGCTCGCTCTTCCTACCTGCCGTCCGAGATCCTGTGGGGCCACCGCTTCGAGACGCTGGTCACCTTCAAGAAGGAGACCGGCGAGTACGAAGTGGACTACGGCGTCTTCAACAGCACCTACGAAGTGGCCACGCCCCTCTGCAGCGCCCGCGAGCTGGACGAGCGCCGCGCCCGGCTCAGCGGTGAGGCCGCGCCTCAAGCCGCGCACGCCCCGCCCCGTTCCGCCCCGCCCCACCCCGCCGCATGTGCAGCTGACCCCCGGACCTCACGACCCTGATACGGCCGGAAATTCCGCAGGAGAAAACAAATAACAATAGTTTATTGGAGTCAAAGGAGTACAACGTCCGTAATTCAAATCGTACAGTAGTCCTGCCCGTCAACAATCCACCGTTACAAATATCTGAGTTTGAAGCGTTGTTGTTACCACCAGAAGACATACCAGTCCGTAACTGCCTTCCGATTGCTTGTCGCTTCTTTATACACGTGAGCTTTTTACTAGAGGCTTCGAGTACCCGTTCCGGTGGCCACTTCGCTGCGACTTTTTGAAAAGTTACATTGCATCTCTGCAAGGATTTGGAGCTCACGAGAACTATTTACCCCTAAACGCGGTAAGCGGGAACTGTCTCGTTTAACATACTGACCAAAAGACCAGAAATGAGTGGGATTGAAACCCACCACCACCTTTTGCCAAACCCGAGATTCGTGCGTCTGGAGCCTCAAGCCGAGCCCCCCAAGAGCGTGGTGCCATCTTGCTGCGCGTGCTTCAAAAATGGACGCTCCTTGTCCGAATAATATTTCTGGCTACTTGACAGCTAGCGGCTGACAGGAGAGGGAATTCCAATATCCAATCAGATGCGTCAGATTCTAATAATGTCACGGCAGACTTGCCAATACTTATTAAGAAAGAAATGAAATCTAACAGTGCGAAGGAACTGAAAATATAAAAGCACCATTACTTCTTTAGTTCTGGAGCGTGTGTGCGAATCTGTGTCGCCTACTGTTGTGAGCTCTTTTTCCGATTTGTTTCCTATTACTTCTGCTATTGCTGTAATCTGATGCGAGAGCACCCAAGTAAGTGACTGAGTAAGTGGCAAGGTCCACCGCCAGCTGTCAAGTAGACAAAAATATTCTTCGGACAAGGAGCAGACAATACGCGTCCATAACAAACCCCACCTCTCGGGAACCGTAGACGTGATGTGTCCCTACTGGCCTTGCCACTGCGTCTTCCATGCGTTTGACGATGCGTTTTCCACGTCGTATATTGCGTTGCAGATCAGTCGGATAAACCCGGACGTATTATTGCTGGTCTTTTGGTCAGTATGTTACATGAGACAGTTCTCGCTTAACACGTTTAGGGATAAATAGTACTCGTGAGCACCAAATCCTTGCAGAGATGCACATGTAACTTTTCAAAACGTCGACAATATTGATGGCCGTAATAACTTTATTTCCTTCAACACAACCACTCAGGTGTCTTTCCTTCATTCTATCTTTTCTTATGATCGTTTTATACGGAGTTAAAATTATTGACTTTATGAATGACTTATAATTACTGTTCGAGTTATATAAGTTCGAGTATCTTTAATTTCTGTTATTTAAGCCGAAATCATTCTTCAATCAACATACAATCATTACAATTTATCTAATTTCATATTGAATACTCTCCGTCTCATTAATTATTCAATAATCTGGTACGTTCTATTTAAAATACCATCAATTACACTTCACAAGAAGAAACAAATTGATCTCATGGATTCTAAGTGGGAGTACGTGAAATAGGACTAAAACGTTCCACCAACTGAATATAGGTTCGGCGGCAAGTAGCGAAGTGATATTACTTGAGTACGTTTTGGAGAGGGTCCAATTGGACAACATTTCATAGGGTGTTCTCGTAGCCTCAAGGATATCCCCACCTTGCATAGTCTGAGCCAAATAACAAAACGACGGATATATATTTCGCGTAGATAATATTGACTAGAGGGAGGTAGTGTAGACGTTGCGCATTTACAAATCAATTAGAGGTAGTGCCGTTTAGCGCATTTGCAAACTAATTGAAACGAATTTTTTAAAAACCTGAAAACAACACTGTTAATTTTATTTGGTTTACAATATTTATTAAAGTCTATTTTTGGAACATAAATAAAACTCGATAAACACTGATGTCTTAGAAAGATATAAAAAGAACAATTTGAAGATGTCAATAAATTTTACAAATTATCTGTAACCACATTCAAATTTATAGGTGTATTCAAAATATTTTCATTACAAAATTTGATTCTTTCACGTTTGTTTGGAGAAATGTTACGGTATATACGTGTTACGGTATATTGATGATGTTCCTCGCTTTTTAATAGTAATATAAGCAACAGGTCATGAATGAGACATCCACCTCGATTATCGTCCATTCCCTGTGTGAGTGTGGAGACAAATTGCCTGTTCATCCAGTTTTTTATCATTCCCTAGCAACTCTCTTAAACGCTTAATATTCATAATGTTTGGATAACTTCATGAACCCCCCTTTGTGGACTAAACCGACAGCCCCTTGCACAGAGCCCAACCCTCGGACCGCGCGTTCCCCAAAGCGCCCACGCAGCAGGCGCTCGACAGAGCTTCACTCTCGTGACTGGGGCGTCTTTCTTAGATTCGCGGTCAGGCAGGCGCTTTAGGGAGCCCGCTCGCAGCACTGCCCCGTCCGTTGCAGCGTCGCCGGGGCCGCCGCCGCTGCCCCCGCTGCCGCCGCCGCCGCCGTGCCTGGAGGCGGACGAGAGCAGCTGCGCGTCGGCGTCGGCGTCGCCGTCGGCGTCGGAAGGCGGCGCCTCCCCCGCCGTCACCGGGCCCCTCGCCGGCCCCCTCGCCGGCCCCCTCGCCGGCGCCGCCGCCGCCACCGCCGTCATCGTCGCCAACTCCAAGCCACCCGCGGATCGGTTGGCGCCGGAGTCGCACATGTAACCGCCGTCCAGTCGCCGACCCTGTGAAAGTTTCCCCTCTCCGATTGAACTCTAGATAAAGTCAAAGTTGTGTTATCAGTAAAGAACTAATGTCCTTTCTCGGGTTTGTCACAAGATGTGGAACGTTTGTTTGCTTGTTCAGATTTGTTAGAACGGGGACTGAACGAAGATTAGTTAATGCTAGACGACCGAAAATAATCGCATGTCGATGAAGACAATAATTGAGTTTGGTACAGATTTTCAACCATCGAATGTTTCAAACATTGAAAGAAAAAAAAACAATACAGAAGAGCCAATATATTCTCAGGTTTAGTTCATTTGTTGATTACCATTGTTTTTGGTACTAAGTTGAGTATTGGGGATCAAAAAGAAGTTTCGATAATTTGGATGAAACACCTCAAGAAAACTTTAAATACGAGTAGTCAAACTTTCAGAATCAAATTGCTCCAGGTTCAAGGCCACCCTTGCATGTTTCATTTTTCTGAGCATGTTTCAAAAGACGTGACTTAAGCGCATAAATTAATAAAAAAAATTAAAAACGACAAATATTTATATCAGGAAAACACATCACATTACACAGTATATTTACTGAATCATGTTTTTAAACAACTCAGGTTTCAAATTGCCAATAGGAAGAACACGTCTGTTTACTGATTTGTGATCAGTCAAAATCAATATAGTATTTTGTGATGTTTCCAACAATCAAATTCATAAATCACTCTTAAATGTTTTTTCTTCAAATTACATAAAAGTACATTTGCAGCAAGAAAATTAATAAAGAAGGAAATCAAAAAGATATTAATAAGAATATGATTTCCTCTGGTCAGAGTGTTATATAAGAAATAAAAATATTAGTGTTCTATCGACTGAAAGCGCTTTGCGCACAAATTACATTTACTTCCAGCTCCAACATAAAAATGTAATTGCTGAATTCTACTCACTTTTGCCTCAGATTTTTGGAGTTAGACCTAGTGGTTGCTTAAAAAGTGTTCGGCATAATTACGATATTTAATCTAGGAAATTATTACACATTTTATAGATACGACTAATAGGCACTTTAGAGATTAGGATACACGCAGACTTTCATTTCATTACGGATCTATTGCTATCTCCCTATGTAATTCTGATATTCGATAGTCTTCCAAACTTCGAATTCCTCGTGAAATTGGCCGTCGAAATGCAATTGACAATCCGTCCGCTTGTCCGTCCATCTAAACGGTTTCTTCCATACATTTGTGTATTTAAAGAAACACAGTTAACAAACAAATTTGTATCAATCCAAAATGTCTTTTTAACTAGAATTTTATCAATTAGTTCTTCCATCTTTTTGCAAAATATTTATATCTTGTAAAATGTAAATGAGCTTCCTGATATATATATATATATATATATATATATATATATATATATATATATATATATAGATAAAAATTTCTATACGTTTACCTGTTTATAAAGTTGGTAAGACAATATATATTTTTGAAGACAAAAATATTGTTCTGTAATAATTTAGTGAACTCAAAGCTCACAATGAGTTATAATTATTCGATAAGCAAAAACTAAATATGAATTTAACCTGAAATTGTTCCTATAACTAATACAAAGAAATTGACATGCGACTTTGCTGAGAAAAGAATGTGATCCACATAGCTTGCATTTTCTCTCAAATGGCGAGCTCTCTGACAGAGATGGTCGGCCGGGGTCAGCAACCCCTATGCTACTGTGCGATTTTTTGTACGGGACCAATGTACAGAAGTACACGGGGATAGTGTGGAATAATCCAAAAAATGAGGCTACAATTCATTTCTATCATAGCCATTACAAATACAATCTCAACTCAACATTTCTAAATTTAGAATCCATTAAAATGCCTAATTGAGTGAATTATATTTTTATAGATCTTGTTCAAAATAAGTAAAAATAGAATTGATACTAACCAGTTGGTCGGCGTATCATAAATTACATGTTTAAACCATTATTTCAGTTGTTTAAAATAAAACACTCTTGAATAAATTATAAGTATCTTTCAAGGTATAGAAATGTTTATACAATTAACAGTATAAATAAGAAAATGAATATTGCCACGGAAACAGGAGTAGGAATTGAGACAACTAATATTTTGGAATGTTCTTCACTAAAACTGTGTACAGCAGTTTGCAATTGCGTCTGCTCAAGGAACACATGTACCGTAGCAATTTGCTATTGTACTGTGAATTTTACTAGTCGTATTTTTTATGAATATTTCTGTGTAATGTAAATAAAATTGAGTGATGATTTTAGAATGATTGAATAAATACATAAATATTGCGAATTTATGGAACTGTTT